AAAAAAAAAAAAAAAAAAAAAAAAAAAAAAAGCTAAAACCAATGCTCATTTACTATTCCAAAAATCCTGGGGCCCTTAAGAATTAAGCTCAATCTACTCTGCCTGTGCCCTGTCACTGGAAAAGTAAAGCCTGGATGAGAGCAGATCTGTTTACAGCAAGGTTTGCCGAGTATTTTAAGCCGACTGTTGAGACCTACAGCTTAGAAAAATATTCCTTTCAAATGATTATAGCTCATTGACAATACACCTGGTCACCCAAGAACTCTGATAGAGGTGTACAAGGAGACAATGTTGTTTTCATGCCTGCTAACACAAAACCCATTCTGCAGCCCAAAGATCAAGAGGTAATTTCAACTTTCAAGTCTTATTATTTCAGGAATACATTCTGTAAAGTTATAGCTGCCATAAATAGTGATTTCTCTGATGGATCTGGACAAAGTAAACTGAAAACCTTCTGGAAAGGATTCACCACCCCAGATGCCATTAGGAACATTCACGATTCATGGGAGGAGGTCAAAATATCAACATTAAAAGGAGTATGGAAGGTAATTTCAACCCTTATAAATGACTTTGAAGGGTTCAAGACTTCAGTGGAGGAAGTAACTGCAGATAGGGTAAAAATAGCAAGAGAACTAAAATTAGGAGTGGAGCTTGAAAATGTGACTGAAATGCTACAATCTCATAATCAAACGTTTTTTGTTGTTTTAATTTTAGAGACAGAGTCTTCTTATGTTGTCCAGGCTGGAGTACAGTGGCTACTTATAGGCACAATCATAACCACTACAGCCTTGAACTCCTGGTCTCAAGCAATTCTCCTGTCCTCAGCTGGGATCACAGGCACATGGTCACTACATCCGGCTCTCCTGACCAAACTTGAACAAATGCCTCTTAGGATGAGCAAAGAAAGTGGTTTCTCGAGATAGAATCTCCTCCTAGTGATGATGCTGTGAACATTGTTGAAATGACAACGAAAGATTTAGAATATTACATAAACCTATTGATAAAAGAGTGGTGGTGTTCGAGAAGACTGACTCTAATTTTTAAAGATGTCTCCTGCAGGTAATAGGCCAACAAACACCATTGCTAGCTACGGATAACTCTTTCACGAAAGGAAGAGTCCACTGACATAGTAAGCTTCCATGCTGTTTTATTTTCAGAAATTGCCACAGCCACCCCAGCCTTCAGCAATCACTGCCCTGACCAGTCAGCAGCCATCAACATTGAAGCAAGACTCTCCACCAGCAATGAGACTACAACTTGCGTAAGGCTCAGATGATCATCAGCATTTTTTAGTAATTTTTCAATGAAGGTGTGTACATTTTTTTTTTTTAGACAAAATGCTATCACACGCTTACTACAGTATAGTATAAACACAACTTTTATAAAATTCTGAGACCGGGTCTTACTCTGTCACCCAGGCTGGAGAGTAGTAGTGCGATCATAGCTACTGAAATCTTAAAACTCCTAGGCTCAATTCTCCCACCTCAGCCTTTCGAGTGGCTGGGACTACAGGTGTGTGCAACCATGCCCAGCTACTATTCAAAATCTTTTTAGAGATGAGGGTCTTGCTATGTTGCCCAAACTGGTCTCAAACTCTTGGCCTTAAGCTGCCCTTCTGCCTCAGCCTCCCAGATAGCTGGGATTACAGGTGAAAGCCACTGCACTTGACTGTAAACATAACTCTTTATGCACTGAGAAACCACAAAATTTGTATGACTCTACTGCAATATTTGCTTTTTTGCAGTGGTTTGGAACTGAACCAGCAATATCTCCAAGGTATGCCTGTTATTTGTATTGAACTCTCTCAACTGCAGCTAGTAAATTTACAGTACAAAGAGTATTAGATATCTTCTGAAACACAAAGTCATATCAAGAAACTTGTACGCATGTACATGTAAATCTTTTTAAAAAGCAACCTATGCATATTTCTTTTCACTTATTTACTGAAAGAAAAATTTAGAGCAATTCTTTCAATATTTCAATTAATATTTAAGTGACTAGTCTATGTCAGAGAACTAGCAGGTACTATAATACAATGAGAGCTCCCAGAACCGGCTTAAGGACAACTGGTAATATTTTTTTCATATATGGTTTAAGAAAAATAAAATAAGTTGAGTACGGTGGTTCACACCTGTAATCCCAGCATGCTGGGAGGCCAAAGCAGGCGGACTGCCTGAGGTCAGGAGTTCAAGACCAGCCTGGCCAACATGGTGAAACCAGTCTCTACTAAAAATACAAAAATTAGCTGGGCGTGGTGGCACCACCTGTAGTCCCAGCTACTTGGGAGGCTGAGGCCGGAGAATCACTTGCACCCGGGAGGCAGTGGATGCAGTGAGCCGAGATGGCACTACTACACTACAGCCTGGCGACAGAGTGACACTGTGTCTCAAAAAAAAAAAAAAAGTAGCTGGGTGCAGCGGCACGTGCCTGTAATCCCAGCTACTCAGGAAGCTGAGGCAGGAGAACTGCTTGAATCCAGGAGGTGGAGGTTATTGTGAGCCAAGATTGAGTGCCACTGAACTCTAGCCTGGGCGATAGAGCAAGACTCCATAGCAAAAAAAAAAAAAAAAAAATCGGAGTCACTGAAGTTCGATAAACTTTAATAAACTTAAGTTGGTAAATAATAAAATTTAAACAGAAAGGTGAAAGCTGTAAAGACATTAAACACTCAGCAAGTGTTGACTATGCCTGCTGTGAACATTCTATAGTCTCTTCCTCCCCCACCCCCGAGACGGAGTCTTGCTGTCGCCCAGGCTGCAGTGCAGTGGCGCAATGAACATTCTACAGTCTTTCCATAAAAGAATGACTGCGTCTACTGCTATCTTATAAAAAGGTAGTGAGTCTCTCTGCAAAATAGTTAAGGCAGAGCCCAAACTTTAAAGCTGTAAAGCACTGTTTGAGTGACTGAAAATTTCAAAGAGAGTGATTTATCAACAAATAAAATTACAGTAAGGAATGCAATGATGAGCCTATTGTAAATAAAAAATTTCCTGAAAATCAGATTAATTGTATTTATCAAGAGAATTTAGAAATACATGATAATGATGGTCATACTACTTTTTTCTTTTTTTAAATAGACAGGGTCTTACTTTGTTGCCCAGGCTGGAGAACTATCAGAGCATGATTCTTTGACACCATTTGAACTCACGAGGTCGAGGCTGCACAATTACAGCTCAGTGCAGCCTCAACCTCCTAAGCTCAAACGCTCTCCCACCTCAGTTTCCCAAGTTGCTAGGATTACAGGCATGTGCCACCATGCCTGGCTAATTTTTCATTTTTTGTAGAGATGGGGTCTCACTATGTTGCCCGGTCTGGTCTCGACCTCCTGTTCTCAAGTGATTCTCCTGCCTCAACCTCTCAACGTGCTGGTGTTACAGGTATGAGTCACTTTGCCCCGTCCATAATACATCATTAAATGGCAATTTTTTCTGAAATGAAATGTTTAAGATAGACACTAATATTTTTAATCAATTTCAGAATAAAGAACTTGACTGACTTCCATACCTTTAACATCTGGATCATCAATGTGGGGCTCTAGATTTTCTATCATTTCTTCCAGTTCCTTTCTGGTGGCCATGGTGATGTTTGGAGAACTGGGCACAGGGCCTTCAGATGCTTCCTCTGGTCCCTCTGGGCTGGGTTTTCCCCCAGAGTTCTGTTCAAGCTCTATGTCTAGATCTATTTCAGGAAGAGGAGTCCTCCAGAAATGGAAGGAGTTATACAATTCCTGATCTAAGAGAGCTGAATCTTGTGAACTGGTGCCAACCTCTGGTCGCAACATAGATTTGTAGTTACCAGGTTTTTTATCATTCTCATTACTAGCTGCTTCCTGGTGAGATTCTGAGGACAAAGTACAAAGTAAAGAGCTGTCCAGTGGAACACTAATTTCACCTAGAGGCTTCCCGGATGCCTCAGCAGCATGGTCTTCCAACGTGTTTTCCAGTATGACACTGGAATTACTAACACTGAGATCTGAAGGAGTATCCTCTGGCCTGACTTGTACATCCTCTGGGGCTTCTTGATCTCTGGTCCTTTTATTGTTTTATTTGGTGGAAAAAAAAAAATATGAAAGGATAATTACTTTAAAAAAAACTGATGAAAGATATTACATATAGCATTTAGACAAGTTAAACATTAAAAATTATGGATTATCTGCACAAACTGAGTTTATGTATATTATTTATAATGCTTCTTTCTCCATCAGTTGTTCTGTGTTCAAAGATGTAAATACCTGTTAAGTGTAAGTCTAGATAGTCAAGCAATGTGTATTAGTTAGAGAAGGTAACATTTAAGAATCCTGGGATTCTATAATACCATGCTAATTTCAATAATAAATAACTAAAGAAAAGTAGTGGAAACAGAAATTCATACAATCATTTTAAGATACATAACAATATTTAAATTATTTTATTTTTAGGATTACTTGTATTGCCTCTCTACTCCAATGACATAATGAAAAGCTGAGACCTAAAGCCTATTTGCTTACATTACACAAGGAAAATTAAAAAAAAAAATTTAATAGAGTAGTAGGAAAGATACTTATTTGCTATCTCACAAAATATATTAAAATCTGCTTGAATGTAAATATTACTTCTGTTTCTTCTAAAATACTCATCTCTACTCCCCAAGGTTTTCCTAAAATGAGGTCATAACTTAATTGGTAAGGACAGAGGGTACAAATTCATTAGAGCCCACTGATTACTGCCATCTACGATCTAAAGTACGACTGTGTTATTACTTGATTCAATTAAATTTAACAAGCATTTACTGAGCACCTACTAAGAGCCAGGAAATGAAATCAGTATTGAGGATTCAAATGTGAATGAGATGTAGCTCTTGCTCTTGAGATTACAATTAGAGGCAAACAGAAAAAGTGAACCTATATCAGCAAATTGCTGCTAGACAGGGTGCTAAGCACAGATGCATGCACACTGAACACACGAGGAGATGGGAGTGAGGATTAAAAGGCCTTCAAGAAAATGACATGAGTTGTGCTCAGAAGAACCAATACATGTTTATGGGGCTAAGGGGAAGAAAAAAGCATCCAAAGGAGAAACAGTACATGCAAAGGCCGCAGTGGCACACAAGGTGCGACGCATTCAGGAATCAGCAATGAGGAAATGATCGATGACAAGGATGAAAGATATCACAGGAAACACTGTATTCCAGACCAGCAGACCTCCGGAGTTCATCCTGGACCACAGGAAATCATGTAGAAGTTAAGGAAACTGTTGACAGATCTGTTGTTTTAGAAAGACCATTCTGGAGGAAGTGTAGAAAATGAGAGGTAAGACAGGAGGCAGGAATTACAGATGCGCAGGTGAAAAGTGATGATGTTCTGATGGAGGTAGTATCTTCAGGACTACAGAACAACACATTCAAACAGCAGCAAAAACCAACGGGACTTTTCCACTTACTGCATGCTGCAGGTAACAAATAACAGTTTCACAAGAAAGCTAACGGGTTCAGGTTGAGATAGGCTGAGTTAGCTATCCATGTTGGGTTCTAGGTGGTGATATCTATGAGAAAGAGGTAAAGACTGAGACAGAGGTGGAGGTCATCAACTCAGATGTGTGGGGCTGACACATGCGGAGGCAGCAAATATTAATAAAGAATAACACAACAATTGCACAGAATAACAAAGAGTGAGGGCATTCTCCCTGTATAAAAGTATAACGAGCGTAGTTTTAGGCTGAGGAAAACAGGTTAAAAGAGATGAAAGAACTGGAGACACAGAGATTGATGGAATAACTGATAAAGCAATGTCTTTCTGAGAAGAGGAAAGAATATGGGCTTCAAAAACACAGAGGAACAGATTAAACAGGTGAGGAGACATTGCTTCCAAAAAAAACATGAAAGGGAAATAAGGATGGCTGAATAATGTAGGTAAATTCATAAGATGAATACAGAAAAAAGCATCTGTGTGCCTTTAAATACACATAAAAAAGATGCTTAACGGGGGACTTAAAAGGACTGTGCAAAAGGAGGGTGATGTTAATACCTATGTGGGCTCCCAGTTCAACAGTCACCATCTACATTCTCATGAAATTAGGAAGTTCCCTCTCATCATAATGCTCACTGTTTTAAAAACCATATTTTCACAAACAGGTGATTATTTTTTAAAATACTGATGAACAAAAACATATTTGTTAAGTCATCTGAAAACATAACACATTGTGACTGCATTTTAAATTCTGGTATTTTTCTTCTATTCTTGTAACTACAATATATATAGTATGCATATATAATACAATTATTCACAAGTGTGAGGAAACCAGACTTTAAGTTCTTACTCTCACACTGGCACTACATTAATATAAAACTCTGAGCCTTTTAATGACTTCTAGGATTCCTCACTTATTCCTTATTCATAAAAATGAGGAGTTGACCTAGATAACCTGTAAGATGGTTTTCTCTCTCCCAAAGGAGCTCCTGAAACTAGTGCTATTATGTAAAATAAATGTGTCTTCTATATGTCTATGAATTACATATTTCCCATTTTGTCCATATTAAAAAATATATAATTTTCCCTTTTGTTATAAAGAACATTAGTGGGCAACTGGTAAAATTCAATAAAGGCTACAGATTAGCTAACAGTATTGTATCAATGTTAATTTCCTAATTTTGGTAACTGGACTACAGTTACATATTAACATCTGTGCTTTAAGGAAACACATACTATTTTAAAAAGGTAAAAAGAATATCATGTCTAAAACGTATTCTCATATAGTTCAGAAAAAAAGAATAAAGCAAATATGGTAAAACAGTATTTGGAAAATCTAGATGGATATATGAAATTCTTTGTGATATTCTTGCAAAATTTCTGAAATCATTCAAACTAAAATTTTAAATTTATAATAAGATACTGTTCAGAAAGGGGGAAGAGAAGAGCATGTACTATCTAATAAATATAATGAACTTCTGTTTTTGTTTATTCTTTTTTTAAGAGACAGGGTCTCACTCTGTAGCCCAGGCTAAAGTGGTATGATCATAGCTCACTGCAGCCTCAAACTCCTGGGCGAAAGTGATCCTCCTGCCTCAGCCTCCCAAAGTGATGGAATTACAGGTGCTTGAAGTTCCTTGATCAATATCTCACCTTGGTGTTAACATTAAATTTTAATATTCTCAGCTGCAAAAATGAACGGAGAATGACTGGTCAAATAACTGTTTGTCTGATAAATGTAAACTTGTTAGTTTGTCCAAAGTTAAAACTCTTAGAATGAAACTAGAAGACAAAGTTTTCCCTAGTACAGTATTAAATTCTGGATAGAACTATAGCATGCATGGCTTCAAAAATGTCAAAAGTATAAATTCTCTAAATTCGAATTTTTCCTGGTAAAGTATAATAGTCAATGCAAAATCAAGCTGTCCAATGCTAAAATTCTGATATTCCTAATTGTCAGACTTTGAAAAGCTATTGTGCAAGACAAATTTTTTTTTGAAAACTGAGGCCCTTTGTGACTCTGTATAATGAGAATTACCCTGTCTCCTAAGAGACGTAGGTATCAAGAGCACCAGAGGACAGTCCAGAAACTACCTACTTAAGGAGGAATCTAAGTGTCTTTTTGTGCCTACATAAGTTTGCAATTAATATCCTCAGAGTTCCTTACTAGAGACTATGGGCCTAGAAAATTAATTACAGGTATTTCAAGGAGAAAATGACTTGTAGAACATCTGGCTAAAGAGGCATTGTATCCTGAGATAAAAGCAAACACACTCCAGGATACACCTTCCAAGTACTGTGAATTAACTCAACGAAGTTTTAGCATTCATGAAATATTTCCAAATTTGTGCTAAGATTTTTTTTTCATATAGTTAGCATTAAGCTAAACTGGAAAACCCCAGCAAAAGTGGTTTAGTTACTTCAGATTTTTGAGGTCAAATACGTATTTTCCTAGAATAATTCATTCAGGATTAATATGTGCACCAAAGGGCAAGTCCCAGCAGAGACAATGGGAGGAGCTGGATGCCACAATGCATGGCCGGGAGGCTACTGATGATAGATGCCAATATGTAGCCAAAAGGA